TTTTTAAAGTTGGACAGTATATTTATACACGTGCACCAGCAGCAGGTCATCTAATAATCATAAGCCAAAGTTATTATCTGAAGCTGTGAATGTTTGAATAAGTGCTGTTTATGTCTTTGAAATCAGCTGCTTGTTTTAGACGGAACCAACCATGTTTGTGCTCAAAGGTACAAAGATTTCATTATAAACCATTTTAATGACTTTAGTTACTGGAAACATTGTAACCGACAAGAATCGGTTCTTCTGTATATTTCAGGTATTTATCAAGATTATTGAACTTGTGTTAAACAAAATGTTAAAAGGTCAAAAACTTAACTCCTAAGACTTAACTGTAGCTGGATTTAAAGGTCTTTTTTTGATTGCATAAAAAAACTATTTCCAGTAAAAACAAGAAATAAAATCTTAATTATATGCCAGGGGCAGAAAACCAGGAGTCCAGATTTATGCTGAGAAGCCACATCTATGCAAACTTCCCACTGCAGAATAAACCTCAGACGGATATTTCCTTTGTTTTATTACAAACAAATACATTACAAAACTCTCACATCTGAAGGCAACATTTTTTCAGTGCCTGAGAAAAAAAGGTCGTAGCACTTAAAGTTAAAAAAATATGTTTACAGAGGTCGAAGAAAACCCCCAAAAACATTTTCATTTTTGTACTTTCTACAAATGATCACAGAGCACATGAACACAGAGGCAGTGTTTGCAGTTGTTGGTTTAATCCAGTCCCTTTGAACCATCCAGAGTCTGTGTGTTTGCTCTATAGTCCGTGAAGGGTGCAGCTGATAATGTCCATGAAGGTGGCCTCTATGCAGTAACAGAGCTGCACATCAGGGTCAGCCCCACCCAGCTCCTCTGCTGTCTTCTGGGGCAGCGTCAGCTTGCAGGGGTGTCCTCCTGAGACCTCAGCCTCCAGTGGTTTCTCCTTAAGATACTGCAAGCCTGAGTGAAAAAACAAGTGGTTTTCTTTAGCACTGGTAGATCTAAACTCAGCTACACAAATTATTCTATGTCCAATAATTTGTCTCTCTTCCACAGCATGTCTTTATCCTGTCTTCCTTCTCTCACCCCAACCAATCACAGCAGATGGCCCCGCCCCTCCCTGAGCCTGGTTCTGCTGGAGGTTTCTTCCTGTTAAAAGGGAGTTTTTCCTTCCCACTGTCGCCAAAGTGCTGCTCATAGGGGGTCATATGATTGTTGGGTTTTTCTCTGTATCTATGAAGCGCCTTGAGGCGACTTTTGTTGTGATTTGGCGCTATATAAATAAAACTGAATTGAATCGAAGCGTCCAGAAATGCTGAATAAACAAAGTAGATTAAGCCTCTCTGCAGTAGCATACATGGACAACACCTTTAAATGTCTATGGCAGGTATACTCCTACTACACATTCACTAGATCCAGTGAAATGCATGAGCTGTACATCCACAGTGAGTACAGATCCAACAGCAGTGACACCAAGAAGCTCGGCCGAGCTTCACACCCTCAGTCTGAGGAGCAGACACTTGGTCTTTATGTGTAAGGCAACATCAGGCTTCAAACACATCAAAGCTAATAAATGATGAAGGGTCTTTCTCATAATTCTTAGACATTTAGGACAGAAATGATCAGATGGCTTTAATTACAACATCTGGATTGTGGATTTTTAAAAAGATGAACAAAAACGATTTGGGTCAAAGTATTTTTGTGTCAACGGTTACATTATTCTGCAGAGAAAAAGAGTAATCATGCTTACGCGCGATAAAAGGATCGATGTCCCTGGCTTTGGTGGCCACGTCCGAAGAACAAACCTGGCCCACTTGTACTAAGAGAGCTGCCACGTCATCGTAAAGCGGAGGGAACGCCTGGCAGAAAGCCACCAGGCATGGCAGGGTGGGCATGAAGAAGAGGAAACGCTTGGCACGAGTCAGCACTGGGAGGCAAAACACGAATACACAATTAACACGATACACAAGGCTGATAAACAGTTAATACAGTGTAGAGAAATAATGTTGCACTAACAGCTAAACACCAGAGGATGGCAGCTAAACACAGGGATGAAAACATCTGTGTGCCAACAGCTGATTATTGTACAGTGTGCAGGCAGCAGATGATGAACAGATGCTAAAAGAGGAAGTATATCACCACATGCATAAGCCTGAGTGTTTACTGACCTGTAAGAAGTGTGCCCATGACACTGATGGCCAACCTGGCCACACTCAGGGACTTGGGTAGGGCGTACTGGGTGCACAGATATGACAGCAACTGGATTGCAAAGATCTGCAGGGACACACGATAACAACAGCGAGACATTTAATACATTTATTTATGTAGCAAATATGCAAACAGTCAGCAGAGCAGCGAGCAGAGCTGGTTGGAGAAAATAAATAAATAAATAAAAGCACAACAGTGTAAGAGAGGCTGTGGCACAAACCCAGGGCGAGTCCAGGAGTGAACGCCAGAAAAGAGAGGGGAGGGAGGTTGGGAGGCCTCACCTGCTTTTCCAGCTGGGGCTGGGCCAGCAGCTCCGGGATGAAGTCCAGACAGATATGGATGGAGGGAATGCCTGCCACAGTTAGAGGCAGCAGAGCTTGAGGGTAACCCTGGCAGACGAGAGGAAACAGGAAACTTGGAATTAATCTAGCAGCATAAGCAAGAAATCGCAAATAAGCAGCTCATTTATTCAAATAGTCGTCTATGTAAACGAGCGCTAGCTAAACATGCGTGTGTGCCGATGCACACTGCAGCAGCTCGGCAGCTCCTGCTCGGCAGCTCCTGCTCGGCAGCTCCTGCTCGGCAGCTCCTGCTCGGCAGCGTGGATGGATTACTGTGACAGGAAGCGGTTTGATGAAGTCCACCATATGGCCGTCTGCTGCTTCTGGGAGCGCTGCACTCACTTATTACTTACGCCGCGGCACAATCTGATGACTAATGCGGTCAATATGATTCGGATCTTCTTGAAAATCGCATTGAAGGTATTTCTGCTCTACGGTGTAATCAATTATCAATGACTGTGATGCTTTCAATAGGAAAATGTGGAGGGATGCTACAAGGATGCCTAATGGCACCATAAACCTGCCAGCTTTTTCACAATATATTACCTGAAAGTGGACCAACTTGGCAATGTTGGGGTCGGCGATGAACATTTGATGCAGCAGACAACAGATGAGACACTGCACCTCCCTCAAATCGCTGAGTAAACCTCCCTCTGGCTCCGCAGCCTCCACGCCCCCCTTGGCTGTGGGCCCCAGGCTTCCCTGTTTCGGTTTCCCTGGCACGGGGCCCCGAATGCTCCTCAACAGGCTGTCTGTGGTGGCCCCCAGCTGCTGCTCTTCAGAGGTTGGCAGGCACACCTCCAGAAGAATCTGCACTGCTGCGCTGTCCTGCAGTTGGACAAAAACAAGGATTTATAATGACTTTGCGCCGTCACACTTTAGTG